TTATTAAATATAAAAATATCTTTATTTGGTACAAAAAGAAGTGATTGTTAATTTGATTTAACAATCACTTCTTTTTATTAAGTAAATATTTATTTATTGTGTAAGTAAATGTTTAGTTGGTAGTATTCAAATAAATATTTATTTAAATTTAGGCTATTTTTTTCTCAGTGTATAATTATTTTTCTCGGAATGTCTGCCGTCTCATTATGTGTCATGTAATTATCACATTCTAACGTAATAGAAATATGGAAGAAAAATTTTTTTCCTTCCATTATATATTATGTTCTTTTTTTCAAAATTTATTATCAATTTTTATTTCTACATTCGGTTGATTATACCTTAAATTCACTTGTAAAACTTTCAACTTATACCTTATAAGAAATGACAATAAAATCGATATCGAATCAACGTCGATTCAATGTCGATTTGATGATTTCAACGTCGAATCGATTCAGTGTCGATTCCATTATTATTTCTCACTCGGTAAAAAAATTAAAAATATTGGAATACACACAAGTTTAAAAATAAATACACTTCTTCAAATTATTGAATCGTGTGCGTCTCATTTGTATTTATAAAAATTTTTCTTATTATGCTTTTTTTCTAAAAAAATTTATATTATATTCCCTCTGGTAGCAAGCTGACATCAAAAAGACGTCATTTGACGTCAAAATGACGTCAAAATGACGTACTTGCTACCTGGGTTGTTTATACATATATGTATATATAATATTTAAAAATAAATCGCAGGTGATATACAATTTATAATTAATCTTATTTAAATAATTATATAAAATAATTATGTATATATGTATAATTTAAATAATTATTATATTTAAATTATAATTAATTTGTATAATAATAATAATTAAACAATTTAAATAATATAATCCAAAAATATTTACAATTAGATAGTTAAATTATAATTAATTTGTATAATAATAATAATTAAACAATTTAAATAATATAATCCAAAAATATTTACAATTAGATAGTTAAATTATAATTAATTTGTATAATAATAATAATTAAACAATTTAAATAATATAATCCAAAAATATTTACAATTAGATAGTTAAATTATAATTAATTTGTATAATAATAATAATTAAACAATTTAAATAATATAATCCAAAAATATTTACAATTAGATAGTTAAATTATAATTAATTTGTATAATAATAATAATTAAACAATTTAAATAATATAATCCAAAAATATTTACAATTAGATAGTTAAATTATAATTAATTTGTATAATAATAATAATTAAACAATTTAAATAATATAATCCAAAAATATTTACAATTAGATAGTTAAATTATAATTAATTTGTATAATAATAATAATTAAACAATTTAAATAATATAATCCAAAAATATTTACAATTAGATAGTTAAATTATAATTAATAACATTAATTTATATTATAATTAACATAATTATTCTAATTAATTTTAAAGTTACGTGTCTCACATGAGTTTTGATACAAGCGCGATTGTGTTACCCTTAAGGCCTGTTCTTTTTAGCTGAACTTTTGCACCTGTTCGTGTTTTTTCCTTTTCTCTCCAGGGGAAAAGAAGAGGGGAAGAAAGATAAATTAGTACAAAAATTCAATCAAAAAAAGAACAGACTTCTACTTTGCGCATAGTGGGCATCGCGTCTATATACTTTTGATCTAACCTAACCTCTAATTTACTGAGATTATTATTCACGCGTATTAATCAATCAGTTGGGTCAAATATTATTATTGATTCTTTTGATACGTATTTCGATCTTCTTCGACAATGAATCTACCTCGAGCGTTGATTGTTAGCACGAAGGAAGGAAAAGCTAAAGAAATCGCAGAAAGTAAGTACAAGAGTATACTCATAATTTTTCACAAATGATTCTAATTTTTTATGTAATTTTATTTCATGTTGTGTATTTGTAATACAGGTATAGGGGCGGAACGTCTATCCGAGGAAGACAAGATTGTGGACTACCTGTGGAACATTGACAACAAGTATTATACATCACAGATCTTGGTACGTGCCGTAGAAAATTTATCCCACAAACTCCCAGTGGAAGAAGTTGACGCATTGATCGTGTACCACGATCCACAGGCAGTAAGAGACACAATGGGAATTTAGCAATTAGATCGACATGTTGATGGCAATTGATTTCTGTAGGACAAGGTGGATCAAGAACTGGAACAATTGACATCCTTGGCCACTTCCTTAACAGCAGCGGAGGTACTGTTGTTTTCTTGCAGGGCAATATCCGACTCGCCTTTGCGAGATAAAGGTATAACAGTGATGGAGAATGTTGATTGATGTTTAATGAACAAATATGGATGTAAGATCGTCGAGTTCTATATTTTAAAAAATATATTGGAATATGCCTTCTCTATACTAAACACTAAACTATAGATAACTACAGTCCAACGGAGAAAAGAAAGGCAAATAAATATTTATCTTTCAGAGACTGTTTCATACAAACAGCATTAGCCAATCAATGACAAAGAAATCCTGATAAAGAAAATAGTAAAATTTTTGCTATTTTTCTCATGTAACGCTTTCCAGCAAGAACACTATTGGTGCTTTTTAGCAAAAAACGGTATTTTTCAGCAAGGCCACAACATAACACAATGTTTGCAAACGTTAAACACGGATGAAATAATTCTCTGTTACATTGTGTCCTTGCTGGAAAATGCCCAAAGTGTCATTGTTTAGAATTAGAGACCCCTATTCAATGGCGTGCTCCAATATATTATAGAGCTCACTGGGAGATGTTGTTAGTGGTATTTGTGTCATCTATCTTTATTTTACATTCTGATGAACAATAAAGATTGAATGACATAAATAGCGCAAATAGCGTCTCTTCAAACACCTTATTTATACCACATATTTATTTCCATATTGCGTATAACTGATGTTTTTTGTTTGTATGTTTCAGTGCTGCATTGGTGTTTGCACCACAAGTTTGAGCTGGTTGAGTTGGAGCGAATGGGAGATTCAGAATGCGATACGGAGGGTAACAAATATGGCATCGAGAGAATCATAGAAGCTCTGCATGCTCACATGTGGCCCAATATCGTGCTTAAAGGTACAAGCCAAATTTCTGCTGTTAGAATAAAAACTCAAGCGTATAACTTTTCACATAGATATGGATCAAATTATGTTTTGTTACAGACAAGTCGTGCATGGGGCAAGCACCAGAAGTAAACGAAATTGAAGAACAATTTGAAAATATTCGATTAACACGTGATCCTGTGGAAACGCTACGCATGCAGGATATGCTCGGTCAGTATAGATCATGAAACGAATGAAGGTAAATCTATGAAGTGCCATCGCTTATTTTTCATTGGATTTTAAATTAAATAGACGGCATCATGGGCGACGAAAACGCAGATTTTGGAGAACTGTATGGCCAATTGATGGCTATGAAGGAACACGCAGCATCCTTACCAACAAATGAAAGGCGCCTAGTGGCAGAGCAAGTAGTCACCGCCTTTTGGAAAGCTATGGGTGGCGATCTTTTAGAAATTGAGGATTAAATTTAAGATTTGATGTATTTTATAGATCGATTATAATTTTAATTTCTCATTTCTAAATTGATTTGAGATAGAAAGTTTAGAATAATACAACGTAATTTATCTAAAGACTGCTACATATTGGAACAATGTGTGCATTAAGGATGTATAATAGAAAAAAAAGAAAATTTTTAGAAAAAATTCCATCTGATTTAAGTGTATAGTGCTGCATGTATAACATAATGTTATTTATGTACTATTAAAAATGTTTATCTTAAATATCATGTAACGTAAAAGTAATCTCATAATCGACGATAGAATTATTAATATTATTGTATTTAAAACGCTGTGTATATATAATATGTATATTTCTTAAAATAAAAAACATTTATTTAAAGCTTCTAAGTATAAGTCACTACAGTTATATTAAATCGTAACGTCAGAAGCAAGAAATGACACGTTAATTTTTGTTGCGTGACATTTGTAAATAAAGATAATTTGAATAAAATAAAATATTGAGATTAAAACGTTTATAAAAATAGACGAAAACTCTGTTTATCCTCTCCGACAGTCAGTAAATAATTGTAAAAAGTAATAAAAGATATGTGTGAGTAAAAATACGCATGCGCGTTGAATAAAAGCACTTGCGTCACTTACGTGGCTTTTACCACTTTTTACGATTATTTACTGTTGGGGGGAGAGGGGAAGGGATAAGGATAGCTTTCGTCTATTTTTACGATTGTTTTAAAGCGATCTCATTATTTCGTTTCATCCAAATTGGCTGTGATAACTATTTAGAAAACCTTAAAAATAAATAAAATATTTTATATCAAATTTTTAGTAATAATACGAATTAACATTCGTAAAAAGGCTGTCTGAAGAAAAAAAAAAGTAAAATTAAAAATGTAGCAACATTTTCCTCATTTTAAAGAAAATAATGGATATATGTTCATATTTTTGAACAGTCTGAAGCAAATTATATATCAGTTCAAATATTAAAATTCAGCGGCCGATTTCTGGATATTAGGAGCGCACGACTCGAAAGAAGCAAAGCTGCGTTCGGAAATACACACCAACTGGCGCCAAATATATCATTCTACCCCATTCTATCTTTGTTATTTACCGAATGTTAAACAAGGATAAATTAATACCTGGAGGTATTCGCGATGTGTATTCCCGAACGCAATCTAAAATGTGTCAAACTTGGCGCTACATTCGAAATAAAATTTTTCACGCATTTTCCTATCGGTTCTTCATCGACGACAAACCTACAGTTAATTAAACCTCATTAGTGTGTAATAAGACTCGTTTTGAATTGATTATGCGCACGATGCTACATGATTTGGATGTAGTCGTTTAGATTGTTTAGAAGTACTGTGCGAGCACTGTCCTAACCGTCCTAACCATGTTCAACTACATGACACGATGACTCCTGGTGCATTCATGTGTATCTCCACATTGTTTTACGAAAGCTAATTGTTTCGTATTATGCGTTGATTACGGGCGATGACAAATTCTGTAACAAGGAAGATGATTTCCCTTAAGTTGATTCGCCCATACAGTCAGTTCACCAATAACAAACCAGCTAACCTCATCAGAAATGAATTTTTAGATTACTTCACGAAGGATTTAAAGCACAGTTTTATTCGTTCCAGTCCTGTCGCTCCGATTACCGATCACTCGCTGGCGTTTATCAATGCTGGCATGAATCAAGTATGTCACACTTTTCAGTCTTGAGAAATTTGTAATAACAAGTCTACTATAACAAATACTTTTATTTTTACTCTTCAGTTTAAAGGGATTTTCTTAGATTATTACAAACCTCCTGTGACAAAAGTTGCAAACTCACAGAAGTGCATCAGAGTCGGTGGGAAGCACAATGATCTAAGTGTTGTTGGCAAAGATAGTTATCACCATACCTTTTTTGAAATGCTTGGCAACTGGTCTTTTGGAGATTATTTTAAAGTATGATTTTGGATATTATTTTAAAGTACGAAAGAACTGCAATGCTATTTTCACTGGTTTATACTTGTAATACTTATTTGTGTAATGAACTGACTTTAGGAGGATGCTTGCTCGTACGCTTGGAATCTTTTAACAAACATATATGGCATACCTACAGAATATTTATATGTAACGTATTTTGGTGGTAATGAGGAACTAGGCATGAGTCCAGATCTGGAGTGCAAAGATATTTGGTTGAGACTTGGTCTTCCGGAATATAAAGTTCTACCTTTCGGTATGCGAGACAATTTCTGGGAAATGGGGGTATCAGGTCCTTGTGGACCTTGTACAGAGATACATGTTGACTATATGAAAAGATCAAGTAATCAAGCCGAACGAGTAAATAAGGGATATACTGATCTTATGGAGTTATGGAACATAGTTTTTATACAATGTGAAAGGTGAGTTATCAGTTATATGTTAAATATTTTAAATCCTTTAAATTAATGATTTAAAGTCCATATAATATACTATATATTTTTTAAATATCTTTATGCGAATTTAAATATTTTAAGTTTTCTTTTCTATGTAACATCATAAAGAGCTCATTAATTGTATTATGATGAAAGTGCATAGTCTATTCAATATCATATTTTATGTTAGGCTTACAAATGGATGTATAGTACCTTTACCAAATCATCATGTTGATACAGGCATGGGACTTGAACGATTAGTTACTTTTCTACAAGAAAAAAAATCAAATTATGATACAGACCTCTTCCAGCCATTATTCGACGCAATACGAAAGCATTCGAACGCACCAGAATATAAGGGAATATTTGATGATAACACAAGCAAAACTATGGTTACAGAATTATCACTTGATTATGGTTA